CGTCTCTCTCCCCGTGTCTCTCTCCCCCTCCCCGTGTCTCTCTCTCTCCCCGTGTCTCCCCCTCCGCGCGTCTCACCCGCTGACGATCACTGTGTCTCTCTCTCTCCCCGTGTCTCTCTCTCCCCGTGTCTCTCTCCCCGTGTCTCTCTCTCCCCGTGTCTCTCCCCGTCCCCGTGTCTCTCTCCCCCTCCCCGTGTCTCTCTCTCTCCCCGTGTCTCTCTCTCTCCCCGTGTCTCTCTCCCCCTCCCCGTGTCTCTCTCTCCCCGTCTCTCTCTCCCCGTGTCTCTCTCCCCGTGTCTCTGTCTCTCCCCGTGTCTCTCTCTCTCCCCGTGTCTCTCTCTCTCCCCGTGTCTCTCTCTCCCCCTCCGCGCGTCTCACCCGCTGACGATCACTGTGTCTCTCTCCCCGTGTCTCTCTCCCCCTCCCCGTGTCTCTCCTCCCCGTGTCTCTCTCTCTCCCCGTGTCTCTCTCTCCCCCTCCGCGCGTCTCACCCGCTGACGATCACTGTGTCTCTCTCTCTCCCCGTGTCTCTCTCTCTCCCCGTGTCTCTCTCTCTCCCCGTGTCTCTCCCCCCTCCCCGTGTCTCCCCCTCCGCGCGTCTCACCCGCTGACGATCACTGTGTCTCTCTCTCTCCCCGTGTCTCTCTCTCCCCGTGTCTCTCCCCCCCTCCCCGTGTCTCTCCCCCCGTGTCTCTCTCCCCCTCCGCGCGTCTCACCCGCTGACGATCACTGTGTCATCGCTCTCTCTCCGTGTCTCTATCCCCGTGTCTCTCCCCGTGTCTCTCTCCCCGTGTCTCTCTCCCCGTGTCTCTCTCCCCCTCCGCGCGTCTCACCCGCTGACGATCACTGTGTCATCGCTCTCTCTCCGTGTCTCTCTCCCCGTGTCTCTCCCCCCGTGTCTCTCCCCCCGTGTCTCTCTCCCCGTGTCTCTCCCCGTGTCTCTCTCCCCGTGTCTCTCTCCCCGTGTCTCTCTCCCCCTCCGCGCGTCTCACCCGCTGACGATCACTGTGTCATCGCTCACGTACAGCTTCATGTGCTGCAGCCCCACCGTCTCGTTGAGTTTCTCCGGCAGCAGGAGCCTCGCCAGACCCCGGAGTGCCGGAGTGTGGTAGAGAGACACACGGACAGAGACACCGGTGGGAGGGAGACACGGGGAGGGGGAGACACGGGGAGAGAGAGACACGGGGGGTACCGACACCTCGTCCAGCAGAGGGAGAAGCATTGAGACTGAGTTGGGGGATCCTGGAATGGGTGGGGAGAGAGAGACACGGGGAGAGAGAGAGACACGGGGAGAGAGAGACACGGGGAGAGACACGGGGGGAGAGACACGGGGAGAGAGAGACACGGGGAGAGAGAGACACGGGGGGAGAGACACGGGGGAGAGAGAGACACGGGGAGAGAGAGACACGGGGAGAGAGGGTGACACGGGGAGAGAGAGACACGGGGAGAGAGAGAGACACGGGGAGAGAGAGAGACACGGGGAGAGAGAGAGACACGGGGAGAGAGAGAGACACGGGGAGAGAGAGAGACACGGGGAGAGAGAGAGACACGGGGAGAGAGACACGGGGAGAGAGAGAGACACGGGGAGAGAGAGAGACACGGGGAGAGAGAGAGACACGGGGAGAGAGAGAGACACGGGGGGTGGAGAGAGACACGGGGAGAGAGAGAGACACGGGGGGTGGAGAGAGACACGGGGAGAGAGAGACACGGGGAGAGAGACACGGGGAGAGAGACACGGGGAGAGAGAGACACGGGGAGAGAGAGACACGGGGGGAGAGACACGGGGAGAGAGAGAGACACGGGGGGAGAGAGACGGGGGGAGAGAGAGACGGGGAGAGAGACACGGGGAGAGAGAGACACGGGGAGAGAGAGAGAGAGACACGGGGAGAGAGACACGGGGAGAGAGACACGGGGGGAGAGAGAGAGAGACACGGGGAGAGAGACACGGGGAGAGAGACACGGGGAGAGAGAGACACGGGGAGAGAGAGACACGGGGAGAGAGAGACACGGGGAGAGAGAGACACGGGGAGAGAGACACGGGGAGAGAGACACGGGGAGAGAGACACGGGGAGAGAGAGACACGGGGAGAGAGAGACACGGGGGGAGAGACACGGGGAGAGAGAGACACGGGGAGAGAGACACACGGGGAGAGACACGGGGGGAGAGAGACACGGGGAGAGAGAGACACGGGGAGAGAGAGACACGTGGAGAGAGACACGGGGAGAGAGAGACACGGGGAGAGAGACACGGGGAGAGAGACACGGGGGAGAGACACGTGGAGAGAGACACGGGGAGAGAGACACGGGAGAGAGACACGGGGAGAGAGACACGGGGGGGAGACACGGGGGGGAGACACAGAGAGAGACACGGGGAGAGAGACACGGGGAGAGAGACACGGGGGGAAAGACACGGGGGGGAGACACGGGGGGGAGACACGGGGGGAGACACGGGGGGAGACACGGGGAGAGAGAGACACGGGGAGAGAGAGACACGGGGAGAGAGACACGGGGGGAGAGAGACACGGGGAGAGAGACACGGGGAGAGAGACATGGGGAGAGAGACACGGGGGGGAGAGAGACAAGGGGAGAGAGACACGGGAAGAGAGACACGGGGAGAGAGACACGGGGAGAGAGAGACACGGGGAGAGAGAGACACGGGGGGAGAGAGACACGGGGAGAGAGACACGGGGAGAGACACGGGGAGAGAGACACGGGGAGAGAGAGACACGGGGAGAGAGAGACACGGGGAGAGAGAGACACGGGGAGAGAGAGACACGGGGGGAGAGAGACACGGGGGGAGAGAGACACGGGGGGAGAGAGACACGGGGAGAGAGACACGGGGAGAGAGACACGGGGAGAGACACGGGGAGAGAGACACGGGGAGAGAGAGACACGGGGAGAGAGAGACACGGGGAGAGAGACACGGGGAGAGAGAGACACGGGGAGAGAGACACGGGGAGAGAGAGACACGGGGGGAGAGAGACACGGGGGGAGAGACACGGGGGGAGAGAGACACGGGGGGAGAGAGACACGGGGGGAGAGAGACACGGGGGGAGAGAGACACGGGGGGAGAGACACGGGGGGAGAGAGACACGGGGGGAGAGAGACACGGGGGGAGAGACACGGGGAGAGAGACACGGGGGGAAGAGACGTCAATTTAACTGTCACCCAGGGTGTGTAGCTGTGTGTGTAGCTGTGCGTAGGTGTGTGTGTAGCTGTGTGTGTAGCTGTGTGTGTAGCTGTGTGTGTGTAGCTGTGTGTGTAGCTAGCTGTGTGTGTAGCTAGCTCTGTGTGTAGCTAGCTGTGTGTGTAGCTGTGTGTGTAGCTAGCTGTGTTTGTAGCTAGCTGTGTGTGTAGCTAGCTGTGTGTGTAGCTGTGTAGCTGTGCATGTAGCTGTGTGTGTAGCTGTGTGTGTAGCTGGCTGTGTGTAGCTAGCTGTGTGTGTAGCTGTGTGTGTGTAGCTGTGTGTGTAGCTGGCTGTGTGTAGCTAGCTGTGTGTGTAGCTGTGTGTGTAGCTGTGTGTGTAGCTGTGTGGCTGTGTGTGTAGCTGTGTGTGTAGCTGTGTGTGTAGCTGTGTGTGTAGCTGTGTGTGTAGCTAGCTGTGTGTGTAGCTAGCTGTGTGTGTAGCTAGCTGTGCGTGTAGCTGTGTGTGTAGCTGTGTGTAGCTGTGTAGCTGTGTGTGTAGCTGTGTGTGTAGCTGTGTGTGTAGCTGTGTAGCTGTGTGTGTAGCTGTGTGTGTAGCTGTGTGTGTAGCTAGCTGTGTGTGTAGCTAGCTGTGTGTGTAGCTAGCTGTGTGTGTAGCTGTGTGTGTAGCTGTGTGTGTGTAGCTGTGTAGCTGGCTGTGTAGCTGTGTGTGTAGCTGTGTGTGTAGCTGTGTGTGTGTGGCTGTGTGTGTAGCTGTGTGTGTGTGGCTGTGTGTGTAGCTAGCTGTGTGTGTAGCTGTGTGTGTAGCTGTGTGTGTAGCTGTGTAGTTGTGTGTGTAGCTGTGTGTGTAGCTAGCTGTGTGTGTAGCTGTGTGTGTAGCTAGCTGTGTGTGTAGCTGTGTGTAGCTGTGTAGCTGTGTGTGTAGCTGTGTGTGTAGCTGTGTGTAGCTGTGTAGCTGTGTGTGTAGCTGTGTGTGTAGCTGTGTGTGTAGCTGTGTGTGTGTGTAGCTGTGTGTGTAGCTGTGTGTAGCTGTGTGTGTAGCTGTGTGTGTAGCTGTGTGTAGCTGTGTAGCTGTGTGTGTAGCTAGCTGTGTGTGTAGCTAGCTGTGTGTGTAGCTAGCTGTGTGTGTAGCTGTGTGTGTAGCTGTGTAGCTGTGTGTGTAGCTGTGTGTATAGCTGTGTGTAGCTGTGTAGTTGTGTGTGTAGCTGTGTGTGTGTGTAGCTGTGTGTGTAGCTGTGTGTAGCTGTGTGTGTAGCTGTGTGTAGCTGTGTAGCTGTGTGTGTAGCTAGCTGTGTGTGTAGCTAGCTGTGTGTGTAGCTAGCTGTGTGTGTAGCTGTGTGTGTAGCTGTGTAGCTGTGTGTGTAGCTGTGTGTATAGCTGTGTGTAGCTGTGTAGTTGTGTGTGTAGCTGTGTGTGTGTGTAGCTGTGTGTGTAGCTGTGTGTGTAGCTGTGTGTGTAGCTGTGTAGCTGGCTGTGTGTGTGTGTAGCTGTGTGTGTAGCTAGCTGTGTGTGTAGCTGTGTGTGTAGCTGTGTGTGTAGCTGTGTGTGTGTAGCTGTGTGTGTAGCTGTGTGTGTAGCTGTGTGTGTAGCTGTGTGTGTAGCTGTGTGTGTGTAGCTGTGTGTGTAGCTGTGTGTGTAGCTGTGTGTGTAGCTGTGTAGCTGTGTGTGTAGCTGTGTGTGTAGCTGTGTGTGTAGCTGTGTGTGTAGCTGTGTGTGTAGCTGTGTAGTTGTGTGTGTAGCTGTGTGTGTAGCTGTGTAGCTGTGTGTGTAGCTGTGTGTGTAGCTGTGTGTGTAGCTAGCTGTGTGTGTAGCTGTGTGTGTAGCTGTGTGTGTAGCTAGCTGTGTGTGTAGCTGTGTGTGTAGCTGTGTGTGTAGCTGTGTGTGTAGCTGTGTGTGTAGCTGTGTAGTTGTGTGTGTAGCTGTGTGTGTAGCTGTGTAGCTATGTGTGTAGCTGTGTGTGTAGCTGTGTGTGTAGCTAGCTGTGTGTGTAGCTGTGTGTGCAGCTGTGTGCAGCTGTGTGTGTAGCTGTGTGTGTAGCTGTGTGTGTAGCTAGCTGTGTGTGTAGCTGTGTGTGCAGCTGTGTGTAGCTGTGTGTGTAGCTGTGTGTGTAGCTGTGTGTGTAGCTGTGTGTGTAGCTGTGTGTGTAGCTGTGTAGTTGTGTGTGTAGCTGTGTGTGTAGCTGTGTAGCTATGTGTGTAGCTGTGTGTGTAGCTGTGTGTGTAGCTAGCTGTGTGTGTAGCTGTGTGTGCAGCTGTGTGCAGCTGTGTGTGTAGCTGTGTGTGTAGCTGTGTGTGTAGCTAGCTGTGTGTGTAGCTGTGTGTGCAGCTGTGTGTAGCTGTGTGTGTAGCTGTGTGTGTAGCTGTGTGTGTAGCTGTGTGTGTAGCTGTGTAGTTGTTGTGTAGCTGTGTGTGTAGCTGTGTAGCTATGTGTGTAGCTGTGTGTGTAGCTGTGTGTGTAGCTAGCTGTGTGTGTAGCTGTGTGTGCAGCTGTGTGCAGCTGTGTGTGTAGCTGTGTGTGTAGCTGTGTGTGTAGCTAGCTGTGTGTGTAGCTGTGTGTGCAGCTGTGTGTAGCTGTGTGTGTAGCTGTGTGTGTAGCTGTGTGTGTAGCTGTGTGTGTACCGCGTGAGCCACGGGTGGCGTCTAGCAGGACGTGGATGTGGAGTCGAGGATCTGGGCTGGCTAGGGAGCGACGTAGCGCCTGGCGGAGCGCCTCCACCTGGGCATCACAGTCACTCAGTCACTCAGTCACTCAGTCACTTAGTCAGGTAGTCAGTCACTCAGTCAGTCACTCAGTCAGTCACTCAGGTGGTCAGTCACTCAGTCAGTCACTCAGTCAGTCACTCAGTCACTGAGTCACTCACTCAGTCAGTCACTCAGCCAGTCACTCAGGCACTGAGTCACTCACTCAGTCAGTCACTCAGTCACTCAGTCAGTCACTCAGTCAGGTAGTCAGTCGTCAGTCACTCAGCCGGTCAGTCAGTCAGTCAGTCACTTAGTCAGTGACTCAGTCACTCAGGTAGTCAGTCACTCAGCCAGTCAGTCACTCAGGTAGTCAGTCACTCAGTCAGTCACTCAGTCAGTCACTCAGTCAGTCATTCACTCAGTCAGTCACTGTCACTCAGTCAGTCACTCAGTCAGTCGCTCAGTCAGTCACTCAGTCACTCAGTCAGTCACTCAGTCAGTCACTCAGTCACTCAGGTAGTCAGTCAGTCACTCAGTTAGTCAGGTAGTCAGTCACTCAGTCAGCCAGTCACTCAGTCAGTCACTCAGGTAGTCAGTCAGTCACTTAGTCAGTCACTCAGTCAGTCACTCAGTCAGTCACTCAGCACTCAGTCACTCAGTCAGTCACTCAGTCAGTCAGTGACTCACTCAGTCACTCACTCAGTCAGTTACTCAGGCAGTCAGTCACTCAGTCAGTCAGGTAGTCAGTCAGTCACTCAGTCAGCCAGTTACTCAGTCAGTCACTCAGTCAGTCAGGTAGTCAGTCAGTCACTCAGTCAGCCAGTCACTCAGTCAGTCACTCAGTCAGTCACTCAGTCAGTCACTCAGTCAGTCACTCAGTCAGTCACTCAGCACTCAGTCAGTCACTCAGTCAGTCACTCAGTCACTCAGTCAGTCACTCAGTCACTCAGGTAGTCACTCACTCAGTCACTCAGTCACTCAGTCAGTCACTCAGTCAGTCACTTAGTCAGTCAGTCACTCAGTCACTCAGTCACTCAGGTAGTCACTCACTCAGTCACTCAGTCAGTCACTCAGTCAGTCACTCAGTCAGTCACTCAGTCAGTCACTCAGTCAGTCACTCAGTCACTCAGTCAGTCACTCAGTCACTCAGGTAGTCACTCACTCAGTCACTTAGTCAGTCACTCAGTCAGTCACTTAGTCAGTCACTCACTCAGTCACTCAGTCACTCAGTCAGTCACTCAGTCAGTCACTTAGTCAGTCACTCAGTCAGTCACTCAGTCAGTCACTCAGTCACTGGGTTGGTCACTCAGTCACTCAGTCAGTCACTCAGTCAGTCACTCATTCAGTCACTCAGTCAGTCACTCAGTCACTGGGTTTGTCACTCAGTCACTCAGTCACTCAGGTAGTCACTCACTCAGTCACTCAGTCACTCAGTCACTCACTCAGTCACTCAGTCAGTCAACTCAGTCACTCAGTCAGTCAACTCAGTCACTCAGTCAGTCAGGTAGTCAGTCAGTCACTCAGTCAGCCAGTCACTCAGTCAGTCACTCAGTCAGTCAGGTAGTCAGTCAGTCACTCAGTCAGCCAGTCACTCAGTCAGTCACTCAGTCAGTCACTCAGTCAGTCACTCAGTCAGTCACTCAGCACTCAGTCACTCAGTCAGTCACTCAGTCACTCAGTCACTCAGGTAGTCACTCACTCAGTCACTCAGTCACTCAGTCAGTCACTCAGTCAGTCACTTAGTCAGTCACTCAGTCAGTCACTCAGTCACTCAGTCACTCAGGTAGTCACTCACTCAGTCACTCAGTCAGTCACTCAGTCAGTCACTCAGTCAGTCACTCAGTCAGTCACTCAGTCACTCAGGTAGTCACTCACTCAGTCACTTAGTCAGTCACTCAGTCAGTCACTTAGTCAGTCACTCACTCAGTCACTCAGTCAGTCACTCAGTCAGTCACTCAGTCAGTCACTCATTGAGTCACTCAGTCAGTCACTCAGTCACTGGGTTTGTCACTCAGTCACTCAGTCACTCAGGTAGTCACTCACTCAGTCACTCAGTCACTCAGTCACTCACTCAGTCACTCAGTCAGTCAACTCAGTCACTCAGTCAGTCACTCAGTCACTCACTCAGTCACTCAGTCAGTCAACTCAGTCACTCAGTCAGTCAACTCAGTCACTGGGTTGGTCACTCAGTTACTCAGTCACTCGGCAGGTCACTCATTTAGACAGTCAGTGACTCAGCCGGTCACTCGGTCGGTCACCTACTTAATCAGGCAGGCAGTCGGTCAGTCATTCAGTCACTCAGGTAGTCAATCAGTCACTCAGCCAGTCACTCAATCAGTCACTCACTCAGTCACTCACTCAGTCAGTCACTCAGTCACTCAGCTAATCACTCAGGGAGTCACTCAGTCACTCAGTCAGTCAGTCACTCACTCAGTCGCTCAGTCAGTCACTCAGTCAGTCACTCAGTCATTCACTCAATCACTCACTCAGTCAGTCAGTCAGTCACTCACTCAGTCGCTCAGTCAGTCACTCAGTCAGTCACTCAGTCACGGAATCAGTCACTCAGTCAGGTAGTCAGTCACTCAGTCACTCAGCCGGTCAGTCAGTCAGTCACTCAGTCACTCAGGTAGTCAGTCACTCAGCCAGTCAGTCACTCAGTCAGTCACTCAGTCAGTCACTCAGTCAGTCAGGTAGTCAGTCAGTCACTCAGTCATTCACTCAGTCAGTCACTCAGTCACTCACTCTGTCAGCCAGTCACTCAGCCAGTCAGTCACTCAGTCAGTCACTCAGTCAGTCACTCAGGCAGTCAGTCACTCAGTCAGTCACTCAGTCACTCAGTCACTCAGGTAGTCACTCACTCAGTCACTCACTCAGTCAGTCAGTCACTCAGTCACTCAGTCACTCACTCAGTCACTCAGTCAGTCACTCAGTCAGTCAACTCAGTCACTGGGTTGGTCACTCAGTCACTCGGCAGGTCACTCATTTAGACAGTCAGTGACTCAGTCGGTCACTCGGTCGGTCACCTACTCAATCAGGCCGGCAGTCGGTCAGTCACTGGGTCGGTCAGTCAGTCACTCACTCGGTCAGTCAGTCAGTCACCGAGTCAGTCACCCACTCACTCACGAGTAGATACTGACGTAGACACACACACACCCACTCACCCTCCCCACTCACCCACACCCCCATCACCCACACCCCCATCGCCCCCATCGCCCACACCCCCATCACCCTCACCCCCATCACCCCCTCACCATCACCCCCATCACCCCCCCCCCCACCATCACCATCACCCCCTCACCATCACCCCCATCACCCACACCTCCATCACCATCACCCCCATCACCATCACCCCCATCACCACCATCACCCCCATCACCCCCATCACCATCACCCCCATCACCCACACCCCCATCACCATCACCCCATCACCCCCATCACCACCATCATCACCATCATCACCCCCATCACCACCATCACCATCATCACCATCATCACCCCCATCACCCCCATCACCCCCATCACCATCACCCCCATCACCATCACCCCCATCACCCCCATCACCCCCATCACCATCACCCCCATCACCCCCATCACCATCACCCCCATCACCCACACCCCCATCACCATCACCCCATCACCCCCATCACCACCATCATCACCATCATCACCCCCATCACCACCATCACCACCATCACCACCATCACCCCCATCACCATCATCACCACCACCACCCCCATCACCCCCTCACCAACTTGGTCTCCATGTCTCCCGTTCCCAGGTAGAGTGATGCCATCACGATCCTCCTCTTAGCTGTCCCGATCCCTTCCTGTGAGATACATCACTCACCACTCACTCACCACTCACTCACCACTCACTCACCACTCACTCACTCACACACACTCACACACACACTCACACACACACTCACTCACCACTCACTCACCACTCACACACTCACTCACTCACACACACTCACACACACACTCACACTCACTCACCACTCACTCACACACACTCACACACACACTTACTCACACACTCACTCACCCACTCACTCACCACCCACTCACCACTCACACATACACACTCACACTCACTCACCACTCACTCACACACACTCACACACACACTCACTCACCACTCACTCACCACTCACTCACCACTCACTCACCACTCACTCACCCACCACTCACTCACCACTCACTCACCCACCACTCACTCACCACTCACTCACTCACACACACACTCACTCACCACTCACTCACCACTCACTCACCACTCACTCACACACTCACTCACTCACCACTCACTCACCACTCACTCACACTCACTCACTCACTCACCACTCACTCACCACTCACTCACACACACACTCACTCACCACTCACTCACCACTCACTCACCACTCACTCACCACTCATTCACACACACACACTCACACACACACTCACTCACTCACCACTCACTCACCACCCACTCACTCACCACTCACTCACCACTCACTCACCACTCACTCACTCACTCACCACTCACTCACTCACTCACCACTCACTCACCACTCACTCACTCACCACTCACTCACACACACTCACACACACACTCACTCACACACACTCACACACACTCACACACTCACACACTCACCACTCACTCACCACTCACTCACTCACCACTCACTCACTCACCACTCACACACTCACCACTCAGTCACCCACTCACTCACCAACTAACTCACCAACTCACTCACTCACTCACCACTCACTCACTCACTCACCACTCACTCACTCACTCACCACTCACTCACTCACCACTCACTCACTCACCACTCACACACTCACCACTCAGTCACCCACTCACTCACCAACTAACTCACCAACTCACTCACTCACCACTCACTCACTCACTCACCACTCACTCACTCACTCAACACTCACTCACACACAGACACTCACTCACCACTCACTCACTCGCACACACACACTCACCACTCACCACACACTCACCACTCACTCACCACTCACACACACACTCACCACTCACTCACCACTCACTCACCACTCACTCACTCACTCACCCACTCACTCACTCACCACTCACACACTCACCACTCAGTCACCCACTCACTCACCAACTCACTCACCAACTCACTCACTCACTCACCACTCACTCACTCACTCACCACTCACTCACCACTCACTCACCACTCACTCAGCACTCACACACAGACAGACACTCACTCACCACTCACTCACTCACCACTCACTCACTCACTCACCACTCACTCACTCACCACTCACTCACCACTCACTCACTCACCACTCACTCACTCACCACTCACTCACTCACCACTCACTCACCACTCACTCACTCACTCACACACAGACACTCACTCACCACTCACTCACACACACACTCACCACTCACTCACCACACACTCACCACTCTCTCACCACTCACTCACTCACCACTCACTCACCACTCACTCACCCACCACTCACTCACCACTCACTCACCCACCACTCACTCACCACTCACTCACTCACACACACACACACTCACTCACCACTCACTCACCACTCACTCACCACTCACTCACACACTCACTCACCACTCACTCACCACTCACTCACCACTCACTCACACTCACTCACTCACCACTCACTCACTCACCACTCACTCACTCACACACACACTCACTCACCACTCACTCACCACTCACTCACCACTCACTCACACACACACACTCACACACACACTCACTCACTCACCACTCACTCACCACCCACTCACTCACCACTCACTCACCACTCACTCACCACTCACTCACTCACTCACCACTCACTCACTCACTCACCACTCACTCACCACTCACTCACTCACCACTCACTCACACACACTCACACACACACTCACTCACACACACTCACACACACTCACACACTCACACACTCACCACTCACTCACCACTCACTCACCACTCACTCACTCACCACTCACTCACTCACTCACCACTCACACACTCACCACTCAGTCACCCACTCACTCACCAACTAACTCACCAACTCACTCACTCACCACTCACTCACTCACTCACCACTCACTCACCACTCACTCACCACTCACTCAGCACTCACACACAGACAGACACTCACTCACCACTCACTCACTCACCACTCACTCACTCACTCACCACTCACTCACTCACCACTCACTCACCACTCACTCACTCACCACTCACTCACCACTCACTCACCACTCACTCACACACAGACACTCACTCACCACTCACTCACACACACACTCACCACTCACTCACCACACACTCACCACTCTCTCACCACTCACTCACCACTCACTCACTCACTCACCACTCACTCACTCACTCAACACTCACTCAACACTCACTCACACACAGACACTCACTCACCACTCACTCACTCGCACACACACACTCACCACTCACCACACACTCACCACTCACTCACCACTCACACACTCACTCACCACTCACTCACCACTCACTCACTCACTCACCCACTCACTCACTCACCACTCACACACTCACCACTCAGTCACCCACTCACTCACCAACTCACTCACCAACTCACTCACTCACTCACCACTCACTCACTCACTCACCACTCACTCACCACTCACTCACCACTCACTCACCACTCACTCAGCACTCACACACAGACAGACACTCACTCACTCACCACTCACTCACTCACTCACCACTCACTCACTCACCACTCACTCACCACTCACTCACCACTCACTCACTCACCACTCACTCACTCACCACTCACTCACCACTCACTCACTCACTCACACACAGACACTCACTCACCACTCACTCACACACACACTCACCACTCACTCACCACACACTCACCACTCTCTCACCACTCACTCACTCACCACTCACTCACCACTCACCACTCACTCACTCACTCACCACTCACTCACTCACTCAACACTCACTCACACACAGACACTCACTCACTCGCACACACACACTCACCACTCACCACACACTCACCACTCACTCACCACTCACACACACACTCACCACTCACTCACCACTCACTCACTCACTCACCCTCTCACTCACTCACCCACTCACTCACTCACCCACTCACTCACTCACCACTCACTCATGACTCACACGCTGTGTGTGTGAGTCGTGAGTGAGTGGGTGAGTGAGTGAGTGGTGAGTGAGTGAGTGAGTGGTGAGTGAGTGAGTGGTGAGTGAGTGGTGAGTGAGTGGTGAGTGAGTGAGTGAGTGGTGAGTGAGTGGTGAGTGTGTGTGTGTGAGTGGTGAGTGAGTGAGTGAGTGGTGAGTGAGTATGTCTGAGTGAGTGGTGAGTGTGTGGTGAGTGTGTGGTGAGTGAGTGGTGAGTGTGTGGTGAGTGAGTGGTGAGTGAGTGGTGAGTGAGTGGTGAGTGAGTGTGTGGTGAGTGTGTGGTGAGTGTGTGGTGAGTGTGTGGTGAGTGATTGGTGAGTGATTGGTGAGTGAGTGAGTGAGTGGTGAGTGAGTGGTGAGTGAGTGAGTGATGTGTGTGAGTGAGTGAGTGGTGAGTGAGTAGTGAGTGTGTGTGTGTGAGTGAGTGAGTGAGTGGTGAGTGATTGGTGAGTGAGTGGTGAGTGTGTGGTGAGTGGGTGGTGAGTGAGTGGTGAGTGAGTGAGTGGTGAGTGGTGAGTGAGTGAGTGGTGAGTGAGTGAGTGGTGAGTGAGTGGTGAGTGAGTGAGTGAGTGGTGAGTGAGTGGTGAGTGAGTGAGTGGTGAGTGAGTGAGTGAGTGGTGAGTGAGTGAGTGGTGAGTGAGTGGTGAGTGAGTGAGTGAGTGGTGAGTGAGTGGTGAGTGAGTGGTGAGTGAGTGGTGAGTACCCACGTGAAGGGCGCGGTAGAAATCCCGCGGAGTCTCCAGCACCTCCACCGCCTCCCCTCTCAGCCCGAACATTGGCACCCCAAAGTCCTCCTCACCGCTCCGCTCCTCACCGCTCCGCTCCTCACCGCTCCGCTCCTCACCGCTCCGCTCCTCACCGCTCCGCTCCTCACCGCTCCGCTCCTCACCGCTCCGCTCCTCACCGCTCCGCTCCTCACCACCACTCCCCATCAGCCACCTCAACTCCCGTGGGAGGCCATCGGCGTGACCCCTCGACCACGGGCCGTGACCTCTCACCTCCCGCGGGCCGTCACCCCTGACCCCGGAGCCGTCACCCCTGACCCCGGAGCCGTCACCCCTGACCTCCGAGCCGTCGCCCCTGACCCCCGAGTCGTCATCCCTGACCCCCGAGCCGTCGCCCCTGACCCCGGAGCCGTCGCCCCTGACCCCCGAGCCGTCATCCCTGACCCCAGAACCGTCACCCTTGACCCCGCTCCCAGGGTCAGGTCGCGGGAGGGATAGAGCGACGAGCAGAGAGGTCACCCTGAGGGCGATGACACGGGGAGAGAGAGCGACGCGGGGAGAGACACGGGGAGAGAGAGACGCGCGGGGGGAGAGAGACGCGCGGGGGGAGAGAGACGCGCGGGGGGAGAGAGACACGGGGAGAGAGGGAGGGAGGGAGACACGGGGAGAGAGGGAGGGAGGGAGGGAGACACGGGGAGAGAGACACGGGGAGGGAGACACGGGGAGAGAGACACGGGGAGAGAGACACGAGAGACACGGGGAGAGAGACACGGGGAGAGAGGGAGGGAGGGAGGGAGACACGGGGAGGGAGACACGGGGAGGGAGACACGGGGAGAGAGACACGGGGAGAGAGACACGAGAGAGAGACACGGGGAGAGAGACACGAGAGAGAGAGACACGACGAGAGAGAGACAGAGAGACATAATCATCTCTGATATCATTAACATCATCACCACTTCCATCATTACCACCACAAAGACAATGTAATGTGTAGCTATGGGTAACTAGCAACGCCATGGAGGTCACGGCCTAGTCACTAGCGAAAGCCTCCGCCCTTTCCTAGCGAGCCCCTACCGAGCCGGGCGAGCCTCCCGCGGCGCGAGCGAGCTAGGCCGCGGAGGGTGCTCGCAATTGAGCCCGAGGAGACTCGCCACTTGGGGGCGTTTCTCCTCGGACCGCCCCCTTAGATTATCCCCTGGGTCCCACCGGGGTCCCCAGGGTCCCCTGTGGGTCCCCTGTGGGTCCCCCTCACCTCCTGCGGGGCGAGGCGGGCATGCGGGAGACGCGGCCGAGGAGAGACCAGGCAAGGCGGATGGGCGCCGCCATTGCGATCGACCGCGCGGGTGTGCGGCCCCTGATTGGTCAACGCGGGACCCCGTTGCAATAGATGGAATCCTATTGGTCGATGGGATCCTGTGGGTCTATATGGGATCCCATTGGAATAGATGGGATACTATTGGTCTCTGGGATCCTATTGGTTTATATGGAATCCCATTGGTCTGTATGGGATCCTATTGGTCGATGGGATCCTATTGGTTTATATGGAATCCCATTGCTCTGTATGGGATCCTATTGGTCGATATGGGATCCCATTGGTCTATATGGGATCCCATTGGTCTATATGGGATCCCATTGGAATAGATGGGATCCTATTGGTCTCTGGGATCCTATTGGTTTATATGGAATCCCATTGGTCTGTATGGGATCCTATTGGTCGATGGGATCCCGTTGGTTATATGGGATCCCATTGGAATAGATGGGGTCCTATTGGTCTCTGGGATCCTATTGGTTCGTATGGAATCCCATTGGTCTGCATGGGATCCTATTGGTGTATGGGATCCTATTGGTCTATATGGGATTTTATTGTTATATGGGATTGTATTGGTCTTTGGGATCCTATTGGTCTGTATGGGATCCTATTGGTCCCTATTGGGTCTATGGGACACCATATGAGTCTGAGACCCTATTGTGTCTATATGGGACACCATATGAGTCTGAGACCCTATTGTGTCTATATGGGACACCATGTGACTCTATGAGACCCTATTGTGTCTATATGGGACACCATGTGAGTCTATGAGACCCTATTGTGTCTATATGGGACACCATGTGAATCTGAGACCCTATTGGGTCTATATGGGACACCGTGTGAGTCTGAGACCCTATTGGGTCTATATGGGACACCATGTGACTCTATGAGACGCTATTGGGTCTATATGGGACACCATGTGAGTCTATGAGACCCTATTGTGTCTATATGGGACACCGTATGACTCTGAGACCCTATTGTGTCTATATGGGACACCATGTGACTCTATGAGACCCTATTGTGTCTATATGGGACATCATGTGACTCTATGAGACCCTATTGGGTCTATATGGGACATGTGAGTCTGAGACCCTATTGTGTCTATATAGGACACCATGTGAGTCTATGAGACCCTATTGGGTCTATATGGGACATGTGAGACTGAGACCCTATTGTGTCTATATGGGACACCAAATGAGTCTATGAGACCCTATTGTGTCTATATGGGACACCATGTGAGTCTATGAGACCCTATTGTGTCTATATGGGACACCATATGAGTCTATGAGACCCTATTGTGTCTATATGGGACATGTTAGTCTGAGACCCTATTGTGTCTATATAGGACACCATATGAGTCGATGAGACCCTATTGTGTCTATATGGGACATGTTAGTCTGAGACCCTATTGTGTCTATATGGGACACCGTGTGAGTCTATGAGACCCTATTGTGTCTATATGGGACACCATATGAGTCTGAGACCCTATTGTGTCTATATGGGACACCATGTGACTCTATGAGACCCTATTGTGTCTATATGGGACACCATATGAGTCAGACCCTATTGTGTCTATATGGGACACCATGTGACTCTATGAGATCCTATTGTGTCTATATGGGACACCATGTGACTCTATGAGACCCTATTGTGTCTATATGGGACACCATGTGACTCTATGAGACCCTATTGTGTCTATATGGGACATCATGTGAGTCTATGAGACCCTATTGTGTCTATATGGGACACCATGTGAGTCTATGAGACCCTATTGTGTCTATATGGGACACCATGTGAGTCTATGAGACCCTATTGTGTCTATATGGGACATCATGTGAGTCTATGAGACCCTATTGTGTCTATATGGGACATCATGTGAGTCTATGAGACCCTATTGTGTCTATATGGGACATCATGTGAGTCTATGAGACCCTATTGTGTCTATATGGACACCAGTGAATCTGAGACCCTATTGTGTCTATATGGGACACCATCTGAGTCTGAGACCCTATTGTGTCTATATGGGACACCATCTGAGTCTGAGACCCTATTGTGTCTATATGGGACACCACGTGACTCTATGAGACCCTATTGTGTCTATATGGGACACCATGTGTGTCTATGAGACCCTATTGGGTCTATATGGGACATCATGTTACTCTATGAGACCCTATTGGGTCTATATGGGACACCATGTGACTCTTTGAGACCCTATGGTGTCTATATGGGACACCATGTGAGTCTATGAGACCCTATGGGGTCGATATGGGATACCATGTGAGTCTATGAGACCCTATTGTGTCTATATGGGACACCATCTGAGTCTGAGACCCTATTGTGTCTATATGGGATCCTATGTGAGTCTATGAGACCCTATTGTGTCTATATGGGACATCATGTGAGTCTATGAGACCCTATTGTGTCTATATGGGACACCATCTGAGTCTGAGACCATATTGTGTCTATATGGGATCCTATGTGAGTCTATGAGACCCTATTGTGTCTATATGGAACATCATGTGAGTCTATGAGACCCTATTGTGTCTATATGGGACACCATGTGAGTCTATGATACCCTATTGTGTCTATATGGGACATGTTAGTCTGAGACCCTATTGTGTCTATATGGGACACCATGTGAGTCTTTGAGACCCTATTGTGTCTATATGGGACATGTGAGTCTATGAGACCCTATTGTGTCTATATGGGACACCGTATGACTCTATGAGACCCTATTGTGTCTATATGGGACACCACGTGAGTCTATGAGACCCTATTGTGTCTATATGGGACACCACGTGAGTCTGAGACCCTATTGTGTCTATATGGGAGACCATGTGACTCTATGAGACCCTATTGTGTCTATATGGGACACCATGTGACTCTATGAGACCCTATTGTGTCTATATGGGACACCATATGAGTCTATGAGACCCTATTGTGTCTATATGGGACATGTGAGTCTGAGACCCTATTGTGTCTATATGGGACACCATGTGAGTCTATGAGACCCTATTGTGTCTATATGGGACATGTTAGTCTGAGACCCTATTGTGTCTATATAGGACACCACGTGAGTCTATGAGACCCTATTGTGTCTATATGGGACACCATATGAGTCTGAGACCCTATGGGGTCTATATGGGACATGTGAATCTGAGACCCTATTGTGTCTATATGGGACACCATGTTAGTCTGAGAGACCCTATTGTGTCTATATGGGACACCATATGAGTCTGAGACCCTATGGGGTCTATATGGGACATGTGAATCTGAGACCCTATTGGGTCTATATGGGACACCATGTGAGTCTATGAGACCCCATTGTGTCTATATGGGACACCATATGAGTCTGAGACCCTATGGGGTCTATATGGGACATGTGAATCTGAGACCCTATTGGGTCTATATGGGACACCATGTGAGTCTATGAGACCCCATTGTGTCTATATGGGACACCATATGAGTCTGAGACCCTATGGGGTCTATATGGGACATGTGAATCTGAGACCCTATTGGGTCTATATGGGACACCATGTGAGTCTATGAGACCCTATTGTGTCTATATGGGACACCATATGAGTCTGAGACCCTATGGGGTCTATATGGGACATGTGAGTCTGAGACCCTATTGGGTCTATATGGGACACCATATGAGTCTATGAGACCCTTTTGGGTCTATATTGGACATGTGAGTCTGAGACCCTATTGTGTCTATATGGGACACCATGTGACTCTATGAGACCCTATTGTGTCTATATGGGATACCATGTGACTCTATGAGACCCTATTGTGTCTATATGGGACACCATATGAGTCTATGAGATCCTATTGGGTCTATATGGGACACCATGTGATTCTATGAGACCCTATTGTGTCTATATGGGATACCATGTGAGTCTGAGACCCTATTGTGTCTATATGGGATACCACATGAGTCTATGAGACCCTATTGTGTCTATATGGGACATCATGTGACTCTATGAGACCCTATTGTGTCTATATGGGACACCATATGAGTCTATGAGACCCTATTGTGTCTATATAGGACACCATGTGAGTCTGAGACCCTATGGGGTCTATATGGACATGTGAGTCTGACACCCTATTGTTTCTATATGGGATACCATGTGAGTCTATGAGACCCTATTGTGTCTATATGGGATACCATGTGACTCTATGAGACCCTATTGTGTCTATATGGGACACCATATGAGTCTATGAGATCCTATTGGGTCTATATGGGACACCATGTGAGTCTATGAGACCCTATTGTGTCTATATGGAACACCATGTGACTCTATGAGACCCTATTGTTTCTATATGGGATACCATGTGAGTCTATGAGACCCTATTGTGTCTATATGGGACACCATATGAGTCTATGGGACCCTATTGTGTCTATATGGGACACCATGTGAGTCTGAGACCCTATGGGGTCTATATGGACATGTGAGTCTGACACCCTATTGTTTCTATATGGGATACCATGTGAGTCTATGAGACCCTATTGTGTCTATATGGGACACCATATGAGTCTATGAGACCCTATTGTGTCTATATGGGATAATATGTGAGTCTGAGACCCTATTGTGTCTATATGGGACACCATATGAGTCTATGAGACCCTATTGTGTCTATATGGGAGACCATGTGAGTCTGAGACCCTATTGTGTCTATATGGGACACCATGTGAGTCGATGAGACCCTATGGGGTCTATATGGGACATCATGTGAGTCTATGAGACCCTATTGTGTCTATATGGGACACCATATGAGTCTGAGACCCTATTGTGTCTATATGGGACACCATGTGAGTCTGAGACCCTATGGGGTCTATATGGACATGTGAGTCTGACACCCTATTGTTTCTATATGGGATAACATGTGAGTCTATGAGACCCTATTGTGTCTATATGGGACACCATATGAGTCTATGAGACCCTATTGTGTCTATATGGGATAATATGTGAGTCTGAGACCCTATTGTGTCTATATGGGACACCATATGAGTCTATGAGACCCTATTGTGTCTATATGGGAGACCATGT